CATTAGTTTTAAATAAACAATTAAACAACCATCCAAACACGCAAATAGGGAGCTTAGACAATTCAATTACATCAACCCTTTTGTCACTAAAAGGGTTATCGTGATCAAACAACGGCTCCACACGTGTCCTCTAGCACCACAATGCTTAATTAAAGGCTAATCTATAAAATTAAATCCTTAATTGTTAATCCATACACTAATTACCTCATTTTTAACACATTTATAGGTATTGATTTTACCTAAAACCTCAATTTAGCCCTAACAAGTCTTCTAACATACTTCATTAATTTTATTTAACAACCAAACACTTAAATAACACCATTCCATTATCCACATTACTTTTAATCACCCAATTTCTACCTAGGTTCGTCCAAACCCTAACCAAAAACTCTAAATCACTATAAAATTCAAAAATCTAGGTTTAGAGGCTTGACTTTACTCCTTAAGGCCTTAACTAAGGCAATGGGTTCAGCTATTACCCAAGAACAACCGAATTAAAGCACAAAATTATCCAACCATCAGAAAAATTCTAATATAGGGAGAAGGAAAGGTGTAGGAAGCTTATCCAAAACTAGATCTTGCTCTAAATGCTTCCAAAATGGTTGAAAAATCATGCCATAGCTGTCACGAGTTCATCCTCGTCGACTCTCATTTTCTCTCTATCCCACTTCTCGTGTTCAATCTAATTTTGTGAACTAATAAGTGCAAAAATTTGCACATGCATTGTGGTGCATTGGTTTGCTTGCCATAGTGTATGGCACAAAGAGCTCTACACACGTTTTGAATCTCTCTCCATAGCCACGACCTGTTCGAACTCCGCTTTAGCCCTCTTCTAAGGCTATCCAATGATCCATTAGCTACATTATCTCCCAAAAACACTATCAAATAATAATTTATCTAATTTGACTAAAATGCCCTTATAAATACAAAAAAAAATTCCTAGACTAGAGTCTAGGATGTTAAAGTATGTGTATGTGATTTTATGATTTTAGTCATATTGGGTGAAACTGGTGTTAAGTGGCTGAGTTTTATATTTGATATGTTATCATATATTTAAATAGTCAATCAAGTGTATATTGCTCCATTAGACTTGTTTCAAGTTTCAAAATGGGTTAATCATATAAGTTTTGAATTTTGGATACTTCCAGCTTGTAAATTATTTAAAAAATCTGACTTCTTACATCCAAGCACCTAAGATTCTCACACGGCGTCGGATCATAATGAAACTTATACCATTATTTAGCTTATTAAATAAGCTTCACGTGAATACTTAAATCATTCCAATCAAACACAGAGTATGAAAATGAAGTGTGTCTAAAGTTTACCTTAAAAAGATGTCATGGCAATATTTTGCTGTCATAATAGTGACATGTGAGTCATGGCATGTTACACACAAGCTGTAACACACAATGTAAAGGCCAAATTGACATCTTTATGCCACATGCTGTGGCACAAGGGCTATGAGCTACAGCATACATGCTAGAATGTGCAAAAATGACATTTTTAGCCCTGTATTCAAGTGTTTTGCTTTATAAACTTTTCCATGCTTCTCATATCTTTAAAAATCATTGAGTTTGAGCTCAAACTACTTATTGAAGGGTTTTCTTAGGATCCCAAATGTTCCAAATTATTTTTAAATGTTTAATAGTTTTAACCGTTCTATGTTTACGGTGAGCTTAAAAGCAATCTATAGCTCTTAATTACCATTATATATTGTGATTGTGATGATTATTAGCAATGTCAAGGTGGACATTACACTATTCATCCTCCCTCTCCTTTTATATGAATTTGGTAGAATGGAATAGTATTAGGTGTTATTTTTGTCTCTCATTGGGTTTTAACTAAACCCATTAGTTTAGTTAAGGTCTTGGAAAGTTAAATCAACCTTCCAAATGTAGGCTTAAGGTTTTTATAGTGATTTGAGAGTTTTTGTTAGGGTTTAGACGAACCATAAATGAAATTTGAGCCATGGGGAATAATGTGGGCAAAGAAGTGACATTATTTAAGTGTTATGGTGCTAAATGAATTAATTAAGAGTGTTAGGAGTGTTGACAGTATTAAAGTAAAATTTTAGATATAGTAGGTACCTAAAATTTAGTGATAAAGGGGTTTAATTAGAGTAATAATTGATTGTTAGTGTTTAATTGTATATATTAAATATTGATCTAGTGTCGTTATGTGAGTGGATCCTTGTGGAGCAAATATTGGACCACAGTAACCCTTTTTGTGATAAAGTAGTTGAAGTAACTGAATAATTCATTCTATTTAATTAATTACTTAACTATTTGAGTAAATATGTAACTTTGCATATATACATTTTGAAAGTGTTGCATATTGCAAAATGAGTATATTATGCATGGAAAATGATTTTAAAAGCAATGAATCTATAAAAGTATCTGTATATGAGTAATTCATGGTTTGGATATAATCATGCAGTTTGTATGAGATGTGTAAGCATGATTATGTTAAGGGATGAGAGTTCATCATAAGGAATAGTAGAAGTCCATATAGCATACATTCTCTTTAAAGCTTGATAGGGTATGTATGGCATTAGAGAATTTCTCTCCTTAATGCTTGTATAGGTACAGTGTTAGAGATTCCTCTCCTTAATACCTATGTAAGGTAAAATATTGGAGATTTACGCTCCTCAACATTAGTGTGATACAATGTTAGAATATCAACACCTAATCATGTGAGGTAGGGAGAAACCATAGTCCAAAAGTGGAACAGAATGCCTTTGGCTAAGTGACTCTACTACAGAAGGTGTGCTCGGGCCAATGTGCATGAGCGTTTGGTCCAATAGAGCTTTTGGTTTCAGTCAAAGTGATATGAAGGCTTAAATGGTAGAATGATCATGCTAAAGCGTGAAAATGACTTATGGATATGGAAATGCTTTTGTTTGGATATGTGTAATGCATCTTGGCATATATAAGCTTTACTTGTTTACAATTGTGCATATTAATTGATAGTTGTGAGTTATTCTATTATTAAAATATTTATCTCACCCTGTAGTTATTTTTTACATGAGAGGGCTCTGATAGGGGCAAAAGAAATGAAGACTTGGCTAAGATTTGAAGAGCTTGAGTTTCTATAGCTCTTCCCCTTTCTTTTGGTATTGTAACGAATATTTTACAAATCATATGCCAATTTAGGAATGTACATTGATTTTTGGATTCACTTGCATAAGATTGTGTAATTGTGAGTATCTCAGCTTGGGATGATGTATTTGTAATGAGATTATAGTTAGATGTCAAGATACTAATACAAGTGTATATTATTGTGTTATATGCGTGATTGATTGGCCAAGAGATTGATGTTTGTTAATTTTGTGTCACCCCTTGAATAATATGAAATTGTGGTTGTTAATGACCAAGTGGAATGCAACTATTATCATATGATCGGTCTATCAAGTTGTGTGTAGTTCATTTGAATTAGTTCAAGTAGTTCCAAAACTATTTGCACTAAATTAGTGGGTTTGGACACCCCTACTGTGTGTTTTGAAAGAAAAAGGGACAAAATTGTATTCTAATGTCTAACTTTTAAATGATGAAGTGTATGGTTTTGAAATCAGTGCTAATAGTTAGGTGACTAAAGAGTTACATATGAACACTTGAATCACTCAAATTAAATGTCAAATAGCAAAATGGCACGCTCCGAATTTAGCCAAAAGTGTTGTCATGATAGTTTATGACAATAGCAATGCACGACAACGCAAGGTTTGTGCGCCACGACGCATTGCACAACATGAAAACTTATCCCTCTATGCCATTCCCCATGGCATATGACACGTGTGCCAAGGTGGATGGCGCATTTTAGGGGTTGTCCAAAATGCCTTTTTTTATGCTTGATTGTGATGTTATTTGGTTTCTGTGCTTTCGCTATTGTGTTTTACTTGTTTTAAACCCTAATTTGAGTTCAAACGTCTTTTCAAAAAGAGTTTCTAGGAACCCCAATATTTTAAATTAATTTTTTTAAACTCTTGTATTATGATAACCTCATATAAGGAATTGATTAATCCTGATTATCATAATGATGTTTTATGCTCATGTGTCTTATTATGATAATGTCAAGATGAACATTACATCAAGGGTATAAATGCTCTTTAACCCTTAAATATATTAGCTTCATAGTTAGTTTAACATTGAAACTGAATGTATTTTATTTCAAAACCTCATATAGATTATCTTTAGTCCACGCTAAATTATTACTTGTGTTCTAAATTTGAAATTCTAATATCATTTTCTATCATCAGCGTAGAGCAAAAGACACACCATGACCTTGCCGAATCATTCATATATCTACAAGGGAAAATTTCATTATAGTTTCTTTGATCAAACTTGTTGACAATTAAACCTTCTAAAATTTTGAAATATCAATTCAATTCCTATGGATCCCACTTGGACTAAACTAAAATTAAGTTTGAGATAAATGACATAAAGAACCCCAACCCCTACATCCATTTTTTATTTTCCAAACCACATTTATTTATTTTACTTACATGAATTATTCATATACTTAACTTCACTTGCTTATATTCATAATGTTATACTATTAATAAGAGTTGCAAATTTTTTATACATCAATTATTTATTTTTTTATACATTAATTATTCATTTTCCTTATACGAGTTGTTCATATATCAATTTCACTTGTTTATATTTATAATAATGTTACACCATTAATGACAGCTATAAATCCCTTTTATATCAATTATTTATTTTTTATACATCAATTATTCATTTTTGCTATGTCAATTGTTTTTATTCAAGAAGATTAGAGTTATCAATATAATTTCTCTCAAATTTAATTTCCACTTAGCCTAAGTAGGACTCATAAGGATTGAATTAATATTTCAAAATTCTCAAGAAATTTCACTATCAATAAATTTAGTCGAGGGAGGTGCGGTGAAATTTTCCCTATCCACAATCTACAATTTTATTATTTAAACAAATAGCTACGAAATTTTCCCTATCTACAATCTAAAATTTTCCCTATACACAAACTTTGAACTTGACCTTTTTATCCTTCCATTTTGTCCGAGGGTGCAACCACCGAGAAATTTTTCAATGGAATCACTCATAACATACAACAACTCCGGTCCCCAAAAACCAAAAACAAAAAAATTGGCACAAAAGTTAACTTTTCTGTGGTGCGAGCTCGTTTTTTGCTGCAGTCTATAATGAAGCGCACAGCTCAGGACATAAATAGAATGAGACAGTATCATATTTGTTATACAACATGAGTATTATCCGAGTTATACAACATATCGGTAGGTAACATAACGTCCAGCAGTTTCACTTGGTCGGATTATCTTCACTACCTGTCCACGCTTCAGTCCGTAATATCTTGCAATTGGATCTGTCACCTGGATTCTAGGAAGCTGTCACAAAGCAAAGAAACTACAATGTCAGCATCATCACACATTTTCTCCTGCAATAAAAAAGGTAACCGTACGCACCGCAAAAAAGAATGGCATTTGGATCAAATGGATATTTAAAGCACATTTCTGAAAGGATATTTACATTAAGTTTACATGACCTTGCCACAAGGATTTTGAAGCGGAGGGCAGAACAAGTAGGGTGGACTAGTCAAATCCTTGTATAGATTACAAAGAGCTTCTAGACACAGGAACTCAAAGCTGTCAGAGGCAAATTAGTATCAGCAGGGTTCAGGCAGAACCCGATCCTCTGTGACTATTCACTGTTCACTAAGCGAGTCGGAGACAGTATCACAGTCATGCTTGTATCAGCAGGGTTCAGGCAGAACCCGATCCTCTGTGACTATTCACTGTTCACTAAGCGGAGACAGTATCACAGTCATGCTTGTTTATGTAGATGATTTGCTCATAACCTGGCATACTGACTGGATGCCTCGGTATGATCACGGCGGATAAGCATCACATGGTGTGGACAGTATTGCCTCATTTTCCTCTGTTTGTTCTAGTCTTTTACTTTTTGTTTATTAACTTCTTTCAAGATTTGCTAGCCATTTGTAATCTAAACAGATTATTTTCCTAACAGATTCACGTTTGAAGGCAATTAATGAAGCAAAGGCTCACTTCAAATTTCAAAATAAAAGATTGGGGGGAGCTAAAATACTTTCTCTGGATAGAGATAGCCAGGTCTAAGGAAGGCATATCGATGAGTCAACATCTGACATGGGATTAACAGGTACTAAGTAGGATGAGTCCCCTTAGATCCTAATGAGAAGCTCATTTCTACAGGCTTTGATGATGAAAAACATGCACGATCAGATGATGCGTTACTAAGAGATCCAGCAAGGTATCAGAAATTAGTTGGGAAGCTTATATAAGTCACCGTGATTCAGCCAGACATCCGTTTTACAGTTCAGAACTTGAGTCAATCCATGAGTTGCTCTAAATAGTCTCATGGACGTTGCAATCAAGGTTTTTTTTTTTTTTTTTTTGGGTCACCAATCGAGGTAGTTTGACATCTGAAGACAAACTCAGAAATGTGATTGTTTACGTCATTTTCTAGTCAGCTGCAGCTTAAAGAATGTGATTGCATATGTCATCTTCTAGCGAGTTGCAATTTCAAGCATTCCGTGACTCTAAGGCTCTGTTTGGTTCGAGGGGAGGGGAGGGGAGGGGAGGGGAGGGGGGCTCCCTCCCAATTTGGGGGGGAGGGAGGTTTTGGAAGGGAGGGGAGGGGAGGGGTCCCCCCAACCAAACAATACCTAACTGGATTCCAGGTCTAAATACTAGGTCTGTTAAGTGGGTATCTCGTGAAGTTAGGAGAATCAGTATTGTAGAAATCAAAGTAAAATATGACCTCCAAATTTCTCAGCAAAAGCTGACTAATGTGATATAAATGATAGAGCTAAGAGAAATGACTTCTGGCATTAACAGAACCAGCATGAGAATTTAGTATGTGATAAAAGAAGAAACATTACTGGAAAGGTAGGTAGATAACAAACATATAGCAAGTAGGGTAAGTCATCCTCTGAAGAAAAGGAATCAAAATAAGAAGAAAGCTAAGAAAAAGAGCCACGGAAGCTCAAGTAGATAGCAATGCTCTGAAACATCTCCTCATATCTGAAAAAGACGTACCCATGAAACCTCCACATTCCTTACTCTAAAAGGAAGCATGAACACCATATCCCAACAAATCATATGAAAAGGCAAGAAGACCTTAAAAATAAGTACATTAGAATCAAGTTTTAACCTACTAACCTGAGTTTCTTTCACAGTATATCTCTCAAGCAAGGTTTTCTTCTCTGTGTCAGTTAGCACCTGATGTTCCGGAACAAGAACATGCTCCTTTATGTTGACCAGCAGTTCTGCCTCCTGTAACGGAGCTACTATTAAAATAGTTAAGATTACAAAAATTTACACATAAGTTATATGAAAAGAAAGCAGGTTCACCAATACAAGATACAATAAAAATTTGTTTCTAAAGCATAATTAAGACATACGCCAAGCCAGTGGTCCAGGTTGAAAAATAGAAGTCCAACATCTAAAACTAACAAGAAACATGAAGGGTACTTAAGCTACTTGATTAGGATTGACACAAGCTTATATACCCTCTTTCTTATTGCTTTTAGATGTGGGACTTCTATGTCAAACACTCACCCCCTTTTTTGTTTAGTTCAGTTTTCAACTTGCTTGGGCTTATGTTCTTTGAGTCTAAAGCATCAAGTCACAACATTCAATTTTTGCATGCCTGAGCTTGTGCTCTTGATTTTTGAACTTAAAAGATCCCTAGGTCCATCTTTCCTTCTTTCTTTCCTTCCTTCCTTCCTTCCTTAATGGAGGTTTGCTCTCAAATTGTGTAGTTGTTAGACTCTAATCTGATGCCATGTTAACTTTCTATTTGAGCTCAAGCATAAAGTCCAAACATAAAGCTAACAGTTTGCAAGACAATGTAAAGAGAGAAAGCAAGAAATTTTAAAACTTGCTATCACTCAAGAATTGTCCTCACAATAACTCTAAACCACATCACCTGAAAAACCTCCAAGTGAAATTTTGAAGATATTTCAGCAATACAGCTCCGGGCAAAGGGAGTCAAATTCTGTTGAACAACCAAGATTGCTCTGGTAACATTCTCTGATTTCATGCGGTTAGTGTATGTCTTCATTATCTTAACTCCAACCTTTGATTCTTCAGGAAAGAAAACATAGATCTGGTACAAATGAAACAAATGAAAAGATAAAGCCACAAAAGGAATGAATAGACATTTTCCATGCACTATCGCATCTAACAACTATGCTAAACACAGGCTGCATGATGTGAATTATGAACCTAGAACTGAAGCATTCAACATACAATGTACAGTTGTGTGTAACCCGAGGTTGTAGAACATAATTTTCATCTTTTAGCAATGAACTAGCTTGATAGGTATATAATAATCTGGAATACAGTAATTATCCGCCATTCATTAATAACAAAAAGATTATGACATATGGAGCCAGTCAAACACTGAGGGATAAGGGTAACGCGTCTGCATCACTGCATCGAGAGTGAAATGGTTATACACGCAGCTGAAGTACCATCATCCATGACAGTAAGCTGGGTTAATTCAGAAACAATTATGAGCTTTGTGCAGCATGAAATTGGAACATGTGGTGTTTAAGCAGCTGTCCAAGCATATGGTGTCAAGATCAAGTATTAAGTATATGGGGTCAAGTTCAAAGGATTATTGTTGAACTGAGAAAGGATCCATGAGTTTCTACAACACTGAGAAGTTTCTTTTCTATTCTTTTCAATATTTTGGATTGAACTCATAAATTTTTAATATCCACAATTGCCCCAATCCTAGATGATTTGCATCCCTAATAAGCTATAATTAACGGGTGAGACAGATGCACGTGGTGCGAATGACTTGACTAGCTTTGTGTCTTGCCATTTCATCTGAACTAAAACCAATTAGTACAGAGAAATCGGAAGCACAATACCATTCAAATCATTTCAACCAATTACATCTAGTGGCAATACTATTGTGGCTTCTTAGCAATACCAACAACAGACTCACCATTATTCCCGACAATTTCTAAGTAACGATTACCTTCCAACTAATACAGCATCATTCTTTCGAGAACAATCAAACTTTAGTCCCAGACGCTAAAAAAAGTCACCAAACACTGCCCTCAACCCCAATAGGACAAAGAAGAATCGTGTAAAAAGATGTTCTAGGAACAGAGGTTGGAGAAGAAGATGAGGGAAAACCTGGTCGGAGCTATTATCTTTCTTAGCTTTATTGATAACAAGGTCCTCCCTTTTCATGTGTTCAGAGTATTTATGCCTGAAGTCACTCTTGGTCATGTTAATCTCGTAGTCTGTAACCAGATAGCCCCTATCCTTCAGCATCTGCATCACTGTCTTCCTGATTCTGTAAAGCCTATTGAATTCATCCTCTGAAAGAACCATCCTTTTCACTCTTCCACTTGCCTAGAAATCTCAAGCCAAGCAAAGAAGAAGATGGAAGGAGAAAGAGGGACGTTGAAGGAACCGGCAACAATCTTACGCTTCCCTCCCCTGTCGCCAGTTCAGTTGAAGGACACGCTTTGAACTTTGATGGGATGAAAGACAACGAGGATTTAGGGTTTGGTTAGTGCCAGTTGGATTTTTTAATCAATGTTTTTTCTCCCCACTTTCAAAATCCAACCCCCGGCAAACACCAGTAAAAAATTAAATATGTCCAAATTACAAATTTTTTTAATTAAAAAAGAAGAAGAAATTCTTTTTTTTTTGAGCCAATAATCTGGTCCTTATGGCCTTTTCCTTTTCAATTACAAAATTAGGTAATGTAATTTATTTTATTTTAATTAAATTTTTATAGTTTTTTTTTTTGCCAAATAAATTTTTATAGTTTAATCTATTACATATGTTAATTTTTACTATTAAAATTAATAAAAATTAGTAACTTTCCAAACAAAAACTTATTCTTGAAGTTTATAAAAAAACTTATTTAATACTTTTAGGCAAAATCAAAGAAAGAAAATTTTACTTAATATATGTAACATCTTGAGTTTTAACTTTAGGAATTTTTAATATTTATAAGGATATTTCAGACAAATTAAATAAATTTTTAGTTAATGACATTTATGAGAGACTAATATAGCTTTTGGGTTATTAGACAGCCTTCGAAGAGGGCTAATTAGAGTTCGAGCAGGCCGTGACACGAAGAGAAATATTCAAAATGTGTGTGGAGCTTTCTGTGCCATGTGCCACAGCAATCGTGCTAACGCGCCACGGTGCTTGTGCAAATTTCTACATTTATCAATGGTGAAATCAGACAGAAAACAAGAAATGGGATAGAGAGAACATGAGGTGGCGACTAGAGACAATCAGTGGGTGCTAGGGCTCAACCTTGGGATCACTTTGAAAACATTTGGAACAAGATTTAGTTTTGGGTGAGCTTCCTACACTTCTCCCCCCTATATTTAATTTTTTTTGAGGATTAGTGTATCGTAGGGCTATAATTTCGTGTTTTCTTGGATAATGGTTAAACCCATTACCTTAGTTAAGGTTTTTGGGAGTTTAATCAAGCCTCTGAACCTATATTTGTAGATTATATAATGATTTGAAGTTGTTGGCTAGGGTTTAAACAAACCCTAGGTAAAAAATTAGATGATTAAAAGTAATATGTGTAATGCAATGGTGTTATCTATGTGTTGGGATATTAAATAAGATTAATAGAGTGTGTTGTAAGAATTGTTGGGGCTGAATAGAGGTTTTAAGTATAATGGGTATCCAAATTTTTTTATTACATGGGATGATTAGTGTGTGGATTGATAATTAAGGGCTTAATTTTGTAGATTAGCCTTTAATCAAACATTATGGTGCTAATAGACACATGTGGAGCCGTTGGTTGACCACGGTAACCCCTTTAATAACAAAAGGGTTAAGATAATTGGTTGCCTAATCTCCTTTTTTATATATTTGAATGGTAATGTGTTAGATTTTGAATTTTATGTTTTAGTTTTGGTACTAGTATAACAATAATATAAAATCATAATTTTGAAGTTATGTGAAATAGGATGTAAAGTTGTTTTAATGTTTTAGTATTTAGAAAGTTAAATACTATTTTTATGTATAACTACTTGTGAAATTCTATAATTTAAGTGGAAATAAGAATATGTGATAATTTATATGTTATGACTATATGTTGGAGCATTGAGCATGTTTGGCATAATCATTGTGAGAGGATAAGTGTTCAGCCTAATGTGTTGTTGGGACATTGTTTGAAAATTTATATAGTACACTAGCACCATAGAGGCCCCGATGCTCAGTATTATATTATTTGGAAATCCCAATACTACAAGAGGTAGATTGGGCAACAACACTCCTAGTATTTATGGACAAGGGGAATCTAAGTTCTATAGTGGTTGAAGGCGCTTTTGGTCAGGGTTGCCTCCTACTAATGATAAGTTTGGGCCAGTCCAGTTATATAAACTTGGTTTTATCAAGTTGTCAGCCCATATATTTAGTTGAAAGACATAAAGAGGGTATAAGGTGGCATGTTGATCATGCATATCATACTATAACTATATGTGTGGATTTATGTGGCTTGTTACATGTTTTATTATGCCACTTCATATAGGCACAAACTATTTTCACACACAAGTAGTTGATTAGACTATTTGGTTATTGAATCCTTGACTCACCCTATAGTTACATTTTACAGGTGAAGTCTTTAATAGGGGCAAGAGAAAGGAAAGTGCGACTGAGCATCAAGGGAACTAGCCAATGATTGTATAGTCCTTTTTTATTTATTTTGTGACACACTTGCATGATTCCTATTGTGAACAATGGGTATCTCAGCCTATAATGTTGTATTTGTGTTGTAATGACAATGAGAGGTTGAAATACTAATGCAAGTATTAGTTTTATATTGATTCATGTGTTAGATTGGCCATTGAATTGATCATATGAGGTTATCAATCCCTTGTGGAATTTATGTTGAAATTGGGGTTTTGCTAGCTAAATCTGTCTGGACTGCTATTGTAGTGATTTGAATGTTTGTATAAGTTTTTTGTGGTTCATTTGAGTTAATTCAAGTGGTTTCATGGTTATTGACACTTGGTTTGAGAGTTTGGGCACCTTGATAGTGGTCTTTGAAAGAAAATATGACATCTTAGGTTTGGGTGTCTAACTCTCATTTGGCTCAGTTTTTGGATGTGAGGGCAGTGTAATAAGTAGGTGCTTCTAAGAGCTACATGTAACATGTTGACACTTAAATCACTCAAATCGAATGTCGGACAGCGAAATGACGAGTTCTAAAAGTTGGCCTGAAGAGCTGTCATGACAACAGTTGCTGTTATGATAAGGGATACGTGCCGTGGCGCATTATTCCTTTGTGGCTCAAAAGCTTTATTTTGCTTATTATTTTTAAGCAAGATGAATTTTCTATGCTTCCGTTGCATTATTTATTAGTTTTAAACTATAGTTTGAGCTCAAACGATATTTTCAAAAAGGGTTTTCTTAGGATCTTATTTACTTTAATATTCTTTTAACCTTTGTGTTATGATGACTATTTTCTTGAGATTAAATTAATCTTGATTATCATAACGGTGTTTCATGTTAAGTGTCCTATGTGTTTGGTAATGTCAGGGATGGCATTACAATACATTATTTATGTTTTTTTAAAATTTTTATGAAATTTTATAAGAAAACAATCTAATTATATAAATTTTGAGTCATAAAAATTATATAGTTAAGTTTAAAGTTATATACTCTTTAAATAAAAATATAAAATTTCTTTTAGTAAAAAAAATATATAAAATTTCTTAATTTTGTCTTTGAAAAAACTTCAAGGATTTTAACTTTAGGGGATTAAAAAATTTAATGGATCAGACTATAAGGATTCAATTAAAACAAAATAAATCATAGGAATTTAATTTAAAATTGAGAAAAATTATAAGGACTTACCTATATATTTTGCAAATATATATATATATATATATAAGTATAAGTAGGCTTAAGCAGGCTAGCCCTTGGCTTATTAGGGCTAGCCAATTTATTTTTGAGTCAATTAAGGCCAATCCATTTAAGGGCTTGTGATAAGACACATTATTTACATACTTTATCTAGTCATTTAGGATTCATTTTACATGATACATTCCCCATTTTGGTGCATTCATGGTTTTAAAAGCAAAAAATCACACAAGGGGCAAAGTTGTGCACTATGGATATTTTGGTCCAATAATTTGACTTTTGAAAAAATATACAAAAGAATAGTCTGAATGTGTTTGATGCTTAGTAGAATGAATTTGAAATTAGATTTTGAAAATTAAAAGTGATTTGGGAGATATTAATTAAAAATCACAAAATTAAGGTTGTTGATTTTATTGACCTAATTAGAGTTTTGTGCATGTGTTTGTACATTGATTTTCACATGGGGCAGCCATTGGATTGCATTTTATTATTTATTTCTCATCTAAATAATTAATTTCATGTTCCTAAATATGAGTTATTATGTTATATGCATTTATTTAATTAATTTTGTTCATTATATGATATAGAGACACATGTGCACTTAGACTTGTATCAATTGGTCAAGGAAGTATAAGAAAGTATTTTGGACATAGGTGGCATGCTAAATGGCTAAAGGATGGGGTAGATCATATTTTTTAAGTGCAAAGTATGGAAATATTCATGAGCATAAGAATTATGACCCAACTAATAAGGACATAGTAGTTTCACGCATGAGAGCATAGTGGTTTCATACAAGATTTGTTACACAGAACTGATGATGGTTTCATATATGCTAAACCATACGTGAAAGCTAAAGGTTCACTCACAAGATCTAGCACAAAGAACTGAGTACATATTCATATATGCAAAACCACACACGAGAGATCATGAGATTCACATGTGATTGATCACATATACTTACTTGGAACATGTTGAAGGCAATTTCATGTGTGATCCAGTAAGTTACTCGCAAGAAATTGCACCAACGGATAGAAATACTGTTCCAACAGTCTGTTAACTATCAAAACTATATATGTGATTCATTTCATACCTAAAGAAGAACTAATGATCACTAAGCAAACTTATCTTTATTTGAGCATTTAAAAAGCTTTCCAATTGTACTTTAATATCTGGCATTCATTCATCATTCTTGAAAAGAATTATGAAAAAGCTCTCACAAGTTTATGAACTTTTAATTGTAATTTCATTTACTCTTTAAGAGAGTTTTCTATGAAAGTTTATTTCATTCTTCAGAAATTTTGAAAAGGTATTTTTCAAGTGTTTGTAATAATTTGCTGGATTGTAGCAAGGTTTGTTGGTTGATTTAAGACAAGTTAAGTCTTGTAAGTTGTATTGTGGTGGTAAGTGTAACACCCTCAAATTTACAAACCGATTTTTCACAAATTATTAAAACCATTATTATGGTAGAATTTTTTTTTTTACCATGATACATCCAAGACATACCACAGGTCTTAAAATATCCCAAAAAGCAATTAAAACCATGAGGGACAGACATGATCCTCATGGCATGATATTCAAATCAGATCATAAATCAACAAGGATAGACATAATCTTCTTGGTCATATAAATACTTTTAATAAAAAGGATTAGAGTTTACATGCTTCTCAAAGAAGATATGTCCTAAGTTGGCACAAGATACATTGTATAATCCAAAATAAGAGGCAACGTAAAAGATGGTGTCTCATACACCATAGTTACACCTCTGGTGCTTTCTCGGCCGGACTCTCTCCTGTAAAAATATTAACCACGGGGAATGAGACTTAAAAGTCCCAGTAATCAAAAATTAATATGTAATGATGCATGCGGATGTAACTAATCATGCGATTGCTAAGTGGGCACACAAAACATTTAACCGAACAATACTTTCAAACAAACCGAACAAGTATTTAATTTGCATGACTGCACATTATATCCTCCTTTCGCCATGCTTGGACGCCAAATCACTCGGCCAAAGGTGAGTTGGACCAAGCGACACGCCACTCATTGGGTCCAATGAGGGCTTACCACGTGGTAATAATTAACCGAACAGAAATTCTCATTAACACCATACATTAAAATACCCTGACAAGTCATGCATCATTCAAATATCCAAACAGGAATATATTCGAACAATAATATCTCATCATGATAAACAAAAATAAATTTTTTAACCTACTTGGCAATAATTTCAAACAAGTATATACAGTATTTATTTTCAATAATTCATAATTTTTCCAAACAATAAAAACAACACATAACCATTCACAAACACACCTATCACAACACATTAATAATGGTTATCTTGTGTCTTGAATAACAAGTTCCCCTTCACAACTCCTCTTTTACCACTATCTTTGTCAACACAATCTACATAGTTATTTCATAATACTATATATTAATTTTACATTAAAATACATAACTCTAATTTAAAGAGTTAGAAAGTCTTAGATCTATAATCCATGTTAACACTAATTTAAGATTTATGCCTCATTTAACTTTCCAAATTCTTTTCTAAAATTCTCGTACCCTTATAAACTATTTTTAAGCCTCAAATTACTTTTAGTATCACAATTTCATCCTTCTATATTCTAAAAATTCGTCCAAAAATAAATTAAAAATTTTAGAATTATCCTGAAGCCTCAAATCACCTTTCTATAATCTCAAAAATACCTATTCATACTTAAATAAATATTTAATAATCAGAGGTTTATCCCTACATCTCAGATTCCACATAAATTCAATCATATAGATCTAAATTTTAACTCAAGAATTCTTAAACATGAGTTTCAACCTCAAAAAAATATTCTATAATATTTATTATATCCCTAAGAGTTTTAACCTATATTTTTAATCCATCATATCATCAGATTAACTATCCTATAGAAAAATCTTAATCAAAATATTTACTCTATCCTACAAAATAATCATATTACTAGAAAGCTAATATTATTTAGAAAATAACTATAAAATTAATTTTGTAATTAAATAAATTTTTAAATGCTAATCTAAACAGGAAAGTTAGAACATACCTGAAGAAAAAGAAAATAATCTCCCCTTGCGAAAAAACGCCGAGCAACGTGAGAGGAAGAGAGAAAAATAATATAAAAATGGAATTTTGGGTCCCACAATTATATTAAAAAAAACTATATGTTTGAATTTAATTATTCAAACTCTTGGGCCAAAAGTTGCAATTTCCTCTAAATTGCATCTTAGCCTCTCATGCTTCCTAATGCACACATCCCCTCCTTTTTATACATGAAGGCACCTCTTCTCTTCCCTCATCTAACCAATGTGGGACTTAGAAATAACAACCTTCTACCCCTTTTTTTTTGTTCCTTCTACCTTTTCTTTTTTTTAACACACATAAAAAAATTATTTATGTATTATATCTTAACTAAATATTGCTTATGTGGTTTTAAATTTAAAATTTTAAATTCATAATTAAATACCTAACCATAATATCATTTCTAAATAACCTCAAATAATATAAATTCCTATTATTATCATTTTTTTCCTCAAAACCTAAATTCCACAATTTATTTATTCTATAAAAATCAGGATGTTACAGTAAGCACCATTAAAGCTTGTAAATATAGTTGGAAATCTCAAAAGTGATCTTAAGGATTGGACTTAGGCCAAGGTTGAGGTTGAACTAGTATAAATTTTATGTGTCCCATCTTCTTCCTTCTTACTAAAGTATTTCACTCATTTAAAGTTTTCAAAGTTTTTAAGTGTCACCCAATGCACCCTTCTTTACGTGCCAGCCTATCTTAACAATTGATATCAAAGCTTAAACTCTTGATTAAAGACTTAATAGTCTAAAAGGATCCTATGGCTAGTTTTGATGATAGTGTTCTCCCAAAAGGTACTGAGATTAATAGGCCTCTAAGATCCAATAGTAAAAATTACACCTTCTGGAAGAGCAAGATGAGATTATTCTTTAAGGTCTCAGACCTTAATTTGTAGGAGATTATTGAGAGTAGTCCTTACATTCCTTATAAAACTGTAGAAAGACAACTTGTGAGAAAAGAAAGGAGTGAATTCATAGAAAAGGAAGAGAAACTTGTGCTACTCAACTTTAAGGGAAAATTAATCATTGTAAGTTCCTTGAGTTAACAAGAGTACTTCTGTGTCAACAATCTGGAAACAATAAAGGAGATGTGGGATGCTTTAAAGATTGCTCATGAAGGCACTGAAGGAGTTAAGAAGAATAAAATGAGTACATTAACTCAGTAATATGAGATGTTCAAGATGAAGCCTGGAAAGAGCATTAAGGAAATGCAAGTGAGATACATATATATGATGAATGAGCTTGTAGCACTTGAAAAAACTTACACTTAGAAGGAGCAAGTTAGAAAAATTATGAGAGGTCTTCTGTCTGAATGGCAACCCAAAATTATTGCCATTAAAGAAGCAAAAAGTGATTCCATGAGATATGTGGTAACATTATTTAGAAGTCTTACCGAATATGAAGGAATACTACCTATGCTAAAAGAAGATGCAAAAAAGAAGAAGTCATTACTGGCTTTAAAAGTAACAAAGGACGAATCTGATTTTGAGACCAGTAATAGTGATGATTCTGATGAAAAAATGGATAGGTTTGTTAAGAACTTTGGCAAATTCTTTGAAAAGAAGAAGTTTGGAAAGAAATTTTTAAAGAAGAAGAAAAAAGAAATCATCTGCTAAAAATGTAAAAAGCCAAGACATATTAAGGATGACTATCCTCTGAAACAAGAGAGTAAGAACTACAAATATGACAAGAAGTTCAAAGCTTATCTCTCTTCAATTTTGGGTTACAGTGATGAAGAATCTACTGAAGAAGAAGAAGCAATTGTCTGATAGCCAAAAGCAATTCTAATTAGGTAAATGACTTAAACTCTAATCTTGAATTTGATTTTACTTTTGAGGAGTTAAAAATTTCTTTTGAAGAATTGCACAATGAATCTTACCTTTTGATGAAAAATCTTTGCCAAGTCAAGAAGAAGCTTGCAATTGCTAAAAAGGAAAATATGTCTCTTAAAACTGAAAATGATGCCTTGAAAAAGAGTATTTTTATTTTGAAAAAGAAAACTCAGTGTGTTGATTGTTCTCTTCACATTTTATAAAAGAAAAATTTGAAAAATGCTGTTGTGAAATTTGTAAAGGGTAGAGATAAGTTGAACAAAATTTTAAGTCAACAAAGAAGTGTATTTGATAAAGCAAACATAGACTATAAACCTAATAAGAAACAAAAAGTATTATAAAAACTTCTTTGTTCCTGTTACTATAATTAACTCACCCAAATCTGCTTATTCTTACTGCAATAAGAAAGGGCATATGATTAATTCATGTATCGATATGTAACCGTGTTACTAAGCCCTTTGATATGAGATCATCATGGATTCCTACATGGTGATCACTAAACTTTGACTAAGTCAAAAGTCACGTTTAACTGAGTAATCATAAAGGTTATGATTGAATTTAATGATATTTATGCAAAGGAATATGAGCGGTTAAGATGGAATTTGTCCTTCACATTAATTAAAAGATATCACTGGGCCCCTCGATAAGTAAGATTGAGAAAATATATGGATATACTATAATGGAAAAGGTTTTTCCATTGCTATAGTCAGTCCACTCAGAGATCAAGCAAGTAATGGTCAGGTAAAAGAGAATGATAATTTTATATATTACACTTGACCGAAATATCATGTGATAAAAGGGATATGATACGTTTATATGATAGGTTACATCAAATTATCAATCTTTATATGAATTGGGTAGTCACAATGTCTTGCTAAATGTCACTTGTGACTTGTAGGCTAGTAGCGTTATTGGCCTACTACTAATTTCATATGAGCTTATAGAGTCGTACATAAGAACAGTTCAACTCAAGTTGTAATATCCAAGTTCATTGAATCTGTAATGTGTAACATCCTGATTTTTTATATAATAAAGAAATTGTGGAATTTAGGTTTTGAGAAAAAAATGATAATAATAGGAATTTATATTATTTGAGGTTATTTAGAAATAATATTATGGTTAGGTATTTAATTATGAATTTAAAAATTTAAATTTAAAACCACATAAGCAATATTTAGTTAAGATATAATACATAAATAATTTTTTTTATGTATGTGTTGAAAAAAAAAAAGAGAAGGTAGAAGGAACAAAAAAAAAGGGGGTGGAAGGTTGTTGTTTCTAAGTCCCACATTGGTTAGATGAGGGAAGAGAAGAGGTGCCTTCATGTATAAAAAGGAGGGGGTGTGTGCATTAGGAAGCATGAGAGGCTAAGATGCAATTTAGAGAAAATTGTAACTTTTGGCCCAAAGGTTTGAATAATTAAATTCAAACCTATAGTTTTTTTTTAATATAATTTTGGGACTCACAATCCCATTTTTATATTATTTTTCTCTCTTCCTCTCACGTTGCTCGGCGTTTTCTCACAAGGGGGGATTATTTTCTTTTTCTTCAGGTATGTTCTAACTTTCCTGTTTAGATTAGCATTTAAAAATTTATTTAATTACAAAATTAATTTTATAGTTATTTTCTAAATAATATTAGCTTTCTAGTGATATGATTATTTTGTAGGATAGAGTAAATATTTTGATTAGGATTTTTCTATAGGATAGTTAATCTGATGATATGATGGATTAAAAATATAGGTTAAAATTTTAGGGATATAATAAATATTATAGAATATTTTCTTGAGGTTGAAACTCATGTTTAAGAATTTTTGAGTTAAAATCTAGATCTATATGGTTGAATTTATGTGGAATCTGAGACGTAGGGATAAACCTATGATTATTAAATATTTATTTAAGTATGAATAGGTATTTTTGAGGTTATAGAAAGGTGATTTGAGGCTTCAGGATAATTCTAAAATTTTTAATTTATTTTTGGATGAATTTTTAGAATGTAGAAGGATGAAATTGTGATACTAGAAGTGAATTGAGGATAAAAAAAATAGTTCATTAGGGTACGAGAATTTTAGAAAAGAATTTGGGAAGTTAAATGAGGCATAAATCTTAAATTAGTGTTAATATGGACTATAGATTTAAGACTTTCTAACTCTTTAAATTAGAGTTATTTATTTTAATGTAAAATTAATATATAGTATTGTGAAATAATTATGTAGATTATATTGACAAAGATAGTGGTGAAAAAGGAGTTGTGAAGGGGAACTTGTTATTCAAGACACAAGGTAACCATTATTAATGTGTTGTGATGAGTGTGTTTGTGAATGGTTATGTGTTGTTTTGTTGTTTGGAAAAATTATGAATTATTGAAAATAAATACTGTATATACTTGTTTGAAATTATTGCCAAGTGGGTTAAAAATTTATTTTTTATTTATCATGATGAGATATTATTGTTCGGATATATTCCTGTTTGGATATTTGAATGATGCATGACTTGTCAGGGTATTTTAATGTATGGTGTTAATGGGAATTTCTGTTCGGTTAATTATTACCACGTGGTAAGCCCTCATTGGACCCAATGAGTGGCGTGTCGCTTGGTCCAACTCACCTTTGGCCGGGTGATTTGGCGTCCGAGCATGGTGAAAGGAGGATATAAGGTGCAGTCATGCAAATTAAATACTTGTTCGGTTTGTTTGAAAGTATTGTTCGGTTAAATGTTTTGTGTGCCCACTTAGCAATCGCATGATTAGTTACATCCGCATGCATCATTACATATTAATTTTTGGTTACTGGGACTTTTAAGTCTCATTCCCCGTGGTTAATATTTTTACAGGAGCGAGTCCGGCCGAGAAAGCACCAGAGGTGTAACTATGGTGTATGAGACACCATCTTTTACGTTGCCTCTTATTTTAGATTATACAATGTATCTTGTGCCAACTTAGGACATATCTTTTTGTGAAGCATGTAAACTCTAATCCTTTTTATTAAAAGTATTTATATGACCAAGAGGATTATGTCTGTCCCTCTTGATTTATGATCTGATTTGAATATCATGACATGAGGATCCTGTCTGTCCCTCATGGTTCTAATTGCTTTTTGAGATATTTTAAGACCTGTGGTATATTGTCTTGGATGTATCATGGTAAGAAAATTTTCTACCATGATAATGGTTTTAATAATTTGCAAAAAATTCAGTTTGTAAATTTGAGTGTGTTACATATTGGTATCAGAGCATTATGTTTCGAGCCTCTATTTTAGTAACACTTATTTAAATTTTTGTTTGAAACTATTATTTGTGTGAATTTAATATGTATTTATTATGTATGGTGCATTGCATATAGTCGGTTGGCAATATACATTGTTATGGTGCTTCTCATTGTATGGCCATTATATAGCTAGGCTAATTTTATTATTTATATCTTGTATCCTTTAGGAGGGGAGAGAAAATGCCTGTTACTCGTGGTAACTCAGGATTCCAACATGAGCACCTGCCACCGCCACTGCCAAATGAGGAGCTGACTTGGCGGAATTAAGAATGCTTGTAAAAACATTAACAGACAAGGTTCAAGGATACGAACAAGAGTTGGTGGAGCTAAAGAGGCAAAAGGTAACTGAAAATGGAGATAGGGCTCATGTTGAGAGTCATGTGGGGGAAGGCAGTTCCTCACATCCTGCCACTCCGAGAGATCATGAGTCTAGAAGGAAGGAAATTAGGCAGGAGGAACAGAGAGCCCCACCGACCATTACTGATGTGTGGGAAACTGTTAGGAAGTTTAACCCTCCTACGTTTGATGGTAACCTTAAACCATCCGTGGTAGAGGAATGGGTGAAGAGACTCGAATCCATCTTTCGAGTAGTCACATGCACCAGCAATCAAAAGTACAAGTAGCATTAGTGCTCCTAGTGAAAGGAGCAAGAGATTGGTGGGAGACAGCAGGGCCCAGGGATGATTCTACACTCACCTGGGAGGAATTCAAGGAAAAATTATTCAGGCATTACTTTCCATCAGAGTTAAGGTCTGAGAAGGAAGCGGAATTCCATGCCTTTAAGCAAGGGAACCTCGATGAGGACACATTCATTGCTAAGTTTCAGGAGTTATCTAGATACTCCACGTACCTGCAGTATAGGGATGATTCCGAATGGAAGGCTAAGCGCTTATTGGAGAAGGCTAGACCAGAATTGAGGGAACAATTGGCTCATCTAGATATCCGAGATTATGATGAAATGTGCATAAAACTACAAGTAGTAGCTCGCAGTAAGAAGGAGGTTGAGAGAGAGAAGAGGGGTTATTCATATAGTAGACCCCCAACCTACCCTCGACCCACCGGAGGCATTATGAAGAAAAAACCATCAGGGTTCGAGTAGCTCATGGAACCAAGGAAGGCAGAAGGGTCCATTTCAAAGGGGCCAAGGACAGAGGAGCTATCATAGTAGTTATCACGGGTCACAGAGGAGCCCAACAGTATCTACCCCTGCCCGAGTACAGCGAGCTCTCAACAGTGCACTAAATGCGGGCGTCGTCATTTCGGACAGTGTTGGGTCTGTTACATTTGTGGGAAACCCGGTCACATTGCAAAGTTTTGTGGGGACAACCAGGGCTCAAATATGAAGAACCCTTCCCAACATCCTACTGTCTCTGGCCGTGTGTTTGCTCTTACTCAGGACACCATGAACTCCCCAGATGCCATTAGAGGTAACATCAAAATCCTTCATCATGATATTGTTGCACTATTTGATTCGGGTGCTACACACTCTTTTATTTCTGAAACTTGTGTAAAGACCTTGATTTGCCTGTGTGTATTTTACCTTTTGATATGAATGTGTCTACTCCTGCGGGAGAATCTGTAAGGACTGCTAAGGCATGCCTTAACCTAGTAGTCGAGTTTAAAAATAGGAAAACAACTATGGACTTAATTATCCTACCACTGAGAGGTATGGATGTAATTGTGGGAATGAATTGGATGGCTGCAAATGGTGCTATCCTAGATTGTAGAGAGAGGAGTGTGTCTTTATCTTCTTTGTCGGTGACCCCAGTCGAGACTCAAGATCATGTTTTCTTGTCGGCGGCGCAAGTTGATAGATGTATGAAGAAGGGTTGCCAGGCCTACATGGTTTTCTTCTCTATCCAAGCTGAGATTGATGAAGGCGTGAAGAATATCCCAATTGTCAAAGAATTTGCGGATGTATTTCCAGACGAAGTCTCCGGTTTACCCCCAAAGCGCGAGGTAGAGTTCTCAATTGAATTGGTACCCGGTACAGGGCCAATTTCTAAGGCTCCTTATCGGATGTCCCCTTCAGAGTTAGCGGAACTGAAAAAGCAAATTGAAGAGCTACTTGAGAAGGGTTTCATCAGACCGAGTGTTTCACCTTGGGGATCTCCAGTCCTTTTTGTAAAGAAGAAGGACGGAAGCCTCCGATTGTGCATTGATTATAGACAATTGAACAAAGTAACCATCAAGAACAAATATCCACTTCCGAGAATCGATGATTTGCTGGATCAGCTTGTGGGATCCGCAGTTTTCTCAAAGATTGACTTAAGGTCAGGGTACCACCAATTGAGAGTGAGAGCAGAGGATATACCTAAGACAGCATTTCGGACGAGATATGGGCATTATGAATTCATGGTGATGCCGTTTGGACTTACGAATGCTCCTGCGGTATTCATGGATTACATGAATAGGATCTTTCGACCCTATTTAGATAAGTTTGTAGTAGTGTTTATTGATGACATTCTTATTTATTCAAAGGATGAGGAGGCTCATGGTGAACATTTAAGAATCGTCTTGCAAGTTTTGAGGGAACATAAGCTTTATGCCAAATTAAACAAGTGTGAATTTTGGCTCCAAGAAGTAAAGTTTTTGGGCCATGTTGTGTCCAGAGATGGAGTTGCGGTGGATCCTAGCAAGATTGATGCAGTGATGAAGTGGGAACAGCCAAAATCTGTTACAGAGATACGAAGCTTTTTAGGTTTAGCAGGTTATTATCGTCGCTTTATTAAGGGATTTTCGCAAATTGCGATGCCCTTAACTAAGCTGACTAAGAAGGATGCCCCATTTATTTGGACTGACAAATGTGAAGCTGCTTTCCAAGAATTGAAAAAGAGGTTAACCACTACTCCAGTATTGACTATTCCTAACCCTGTGGTGCCGTACACTCTGTACACTGATGCTTCTTTAAAGGGTTTAGGATGTGTTTTGATGCAAAATGACCGAGTGGTTGCCTATTCCTCCAGACAGTTGAGACACACGAGGAAAATTACCCTACTCATGATTTGGAGTTAGCTGCAGTTGTGTTTGCTCTGAAGATATGGAGACACTACTTGTATGGATCTAAGTTTCAAATCTTCAGTGACCATAAGAGCCTGAAGTATTTATTTGATCAAAAAGAGCTTAATATGAGGCAGCGACGATGGATGGAATTTCTAAAGGATTATGACTTTGAATTACATTACCATCCGGGTAAGGCTAACGTGGTAGCTGATGCCTTAAGTAGAAAGACTATTCATGCTGCACATTTGATGGTTCATGAATATCATTTATGGAACAGTTTTCATGATGTTCCAGTAGATGTGATTGAACATCAAATGGCCGCACTCCAGGTAGCAGACTTTGAGAGCAAATTCTGGGAAGATCTCAGAGTCTCACAGCAGAGTGATGACTACTTAAGGAATATAAGGAAGGAGATAGTGGTAGGTAAGGCCCCAAATTTTACCATCTCTGAGGACACAGTGATGAAGTATAAAGGTAGAGTTTGTGTACCTAATGATCCAAGATTGAGGAATATCCTTTTAGAAGAAGCTCATAGGAGCAAATATACAATTCATCCCGGTATAACTAAAATGTACCATGATTTGAAGCGAGGTTGGTGGTGGCCAGGAATGAAGAAAGATGTAACTGAATTTGTTTCTAGATGTTTAACGTGTCAGAAGATAAAGATAGAACATCAGAAGCCAGCTGGAACACTGCAACCGTTAGATATTCCAAAGTGGAAATGGGATGATATTTCTATGGATTTCATCACTGGACTGCCAAGAACACCCTCGAGTAAGGATGCTATTTGGGTGATAGTAGACCGACTCACCAAATCAGCTCACTTTTTGGCGATCAAGTTTACCTCTACATTAGAGAAATTTGCTGAGATATACATTAAGGAGATAGTTAGACTTCATGGTATACCCTCTAGAATTGTGTCAGATCGTGACCCAAGGTTCACTTCAAACTTTTGGGGTGCGCTACAGAAGGCTATGGGTACCAGACTGAGTTTTAGCACCGCATACCACCCCCAAACAGATGGACAAACAGAGAGGACGATCCAGACTTTGGAGGACATGTTGAGAGCTTGTGCCATTGAACTACCAGGTAGTTGGGATAATCATTTGCCATTAGCTGAATTTGCTTATAATAATAGCTATCATTCTAGTATTGGGATGGCGCCTTATGAGGCCTTGTATGGAAGGAAGTGTAGATCGCCTTTGTGTTGGACAGAATTAAGTGAGAGGAGTATCATTGGTCCAGAAATTGTAGAGCAGACCACCCAGAAGATTGCAATGATTAAGCAAAAATTGCTAACCGCTCAGAGCCGACAGAAGAGCTATGCTGATAAGAGGAGACGGCCGTTAGAGTTTGAAGTAGGAGATCATGTATTTTTGAAGGTTTCTCCAGTGACAGGCATTGGTAGATCCATTAAGGCAAAGAAGTTGACACCTAGATTTATGGGCCCGTATGAGATCTTGGAGCGAATTGGATCTACTGCATATAGAGTTGCATTACCTCCACAGATTGCAGGTATCCATAATGTGTTCCACGTATCACAGTTGAAGAAGTACAACCCGGATCCCTCCCATGTTATTGAACCTGAAGAAGTAGAATTGAGGGAGAATTTGACCTTTAGATCCGAACCGGAGCGAATTGAGGACTTTAAGGACAAACAACTACGCAATAAGACCATCCGACTCGTGAAGGTGATTTGGAAGGGTGGAGCCCTAGGTGATGCTACTTGGGAAACCGAGGAGAGTATGAGGCGAGATTATCCACATTTATTTGCTTAGGTACATAGTTTCTATGCTTATCTATTAAATT